TTTTTTTTTTTTTTTTTTTTTTTTTTTTTTTTTTTTTTTTTTTTTTTTTTTTTTCTTGCGTTACAGTTCTCAAAACATAAATTGTTTTTAAAAACCCACTCGAAAAAATCTCTATAATTAATTAATGAAGCATCAAAATAAACTATAAACATATTCAATAATCAAGAAATTACATGATAAACACAATGAAATTCACCACATTAAATCTCCCCGCTTCTTAAGCAAACTGATCCGATCCATGATGCTCCAATACTTAGTTAGAGTAACAGTACAGAACAACAAATGAATTAGCTGACAACTTGTTTAATACCATACAAACTACAAAGGCATATAATAGGCATAATACCAAAAAAAAAAAAAAAAAAAAAAAAAAAAAAAAAAAAAAAAAAAAAAAAAAAAAAAAAAAANCAAAAAAAAAAAAAAAAAAAAAAAAAAAGAAGAGGATTTCCAAGGAGTCTGGAACAAATTCAAGTTTTAGCCATGCATCCAAAGAGTTTAGATAGTGGTAGCCACAATGTGTCGGCACATTCAATATTTTCTTACAAGAGATCATATGACAACACCCAATGAAATTCGAAGATTGATATAAAATTTTGAACGTTAAAATAGCTTACAAAAGTAGACAAGAAAATAAGGAACATTCAACGAGACAATTGGTATTACTTGGCAGTTTAATAAAAATTCGCAACAAAAGAAAGATAAGACAAGGAAACAAGAGCAAAATTAGGTTTTCAGAAAAGAGATCTAATAGCATACTCCATGTGACAGTACACTACTCATTCAATGAAGTACATCTAGAATTAAAGAATACTCAGAACTCAAAAAACTCTATAAACGTAGAGAGATCTAGTATATTATACCTACAAATTGCAAGTATCGACAACAATATCTACCCGAGTAAATTAAAAATTAAGTAAAATAGTAACAATGATCATTAAGAAACTTCTAACCGCATTGTATATCTACGAACAAATTTGAATAGTTGAAATTGAGGTTGCATAGGAGACACCTGGGAATAAGACAAAACCATACCAGTTACCACATTACTTTCATTCATGATAATTCTCCAAAAGCATCCCGGTTCTTTGGCATTTAGACCATGATTGAACCCAAGAGTAGAAGGACGGCTCGACAGTAACTAAAAAGTGGGCTCACGACCTAGACTCCAAATTGTTTGAACTTGATGGGTTTTGAAAAATTCGTATCAAAACCATGATGATTTCGCAAATAGAGAGGGTAGAACATAATCGATTATAGAAAAATCATGATGAATTTGTAAAGATAAGAGGTTATCTTTAAAAAATCAAACCTAAACACTAAAACTTGTCTAGGAAGGTTGAAGGTCTAAACCCTAAGAAAATTCAGAAGAAACTGGATGCAATTGCAGAGGAGAGAAAAAAACTAGAACTCATAATGGGGACTGTAGAGCGCGAAAGAAAGCAAAACTATTTATAAAGAAACTAGAAAGAGGCTGTCAAATACAGCCGTTGAAGAAACGTGCGTGAAGAATGAAATGGGCCTAATTAATGTAACAACGGGCCAACGAAATACCCACCCATGGTTAGGAATTAAATCCTGAGATTATGAAATAATTGAAATAAATCTCTAATCTAAAATTTAAAGCATTTTTAAAACGAGTGTTTTGAAGTTTTTGTTCAAAGATATTTCATCATCAACACGGAGATGCAGGTCTTACCGGTCGACACTATGGTATAAAGTTTTTGTTCATCTTTACCCTCTTGCTATTGCTTTCTCTCTTCCCATGGCACTGCCATCGACACTCTTCTTTGGGAACGGAGGGTTCGATTCAGTTCGGTCATCAATAATGACTAAAACCAAACTGAATCTTACACGTCCTTCAAACATAATGGGTCTAAATTCAAACACAACTTTCAAATTGCAACTAAGTTTTAAATTAATGTTTTTGGAAAATTCAAATTCAATTTTGTAATCATCGTAGATAGAATAATATATAAAGATTCGGAGCTTAATTGCTGAAGTTTAGGAAATAAGAGGAAGGGAAGTGGAGTTCGAACCTGCCTTGACCAGTCCTTACTTGAGTTTATTTCCAAACTCCGAGGTACTCCTCCAGCCCTTACACAACTATCGTAACATGGTAAACAACCATCATATTACAACTGATACAATTAATATGTTAGATATGTTGAGACAATTATCATATTGAACTAAGACAACTATTATATATGTCTATTATAATAAGAAAGTCAACATTTTACAATAATTATCATTCAAATGCAACAAATCAATATTCAATAAGTCTACTTAAAAATGAAAATAAGTTGAAAATTCTTGATCCCATTAGACCATAAAGAACAATTATATCGGGATAAAAATATTACGATGGAAACGACTGATATTTCAAGACAACTCTCAAAAACTAAAGCAATCATGATGTAATTACAATTGAGGCAACATATATTTCAATACAATTATAGATGAAGGCAACCCCTTCATGTCCAAACATTTAATAACCAAAGAATCTAATCTTTCACAACAATTATCATTATGAGGCAACCAAGATGGGAATTTTGCAACAACAATCAATTTGAAACAATCAATATTTAAGCAACCATGGTATTAAAACAATTATTGTAATAAGGCAATCAATATTTCGCAACAATTATTATTTCAAGACAACCATATTTCGAAACAACATATCAAAGCAACCGATCTTATCCTAAACAATTATTGTAACAAGACAACTAATATTTTGAGCAACCAAAATTTTGGATTCCATCAAGAAACAACCATCATGTTTGGTCAATTATTGTATCAAGACGGCCAATATTTCGAGCAACCATTATTTTTATTCTATCATGAAAACTAACCATCTTGTCTAGACAATTATCATTTAGAGAAGCCATATTTCGAAACAACATATCAAAGCAACCATCATGTCTAGATAATTACTGTACCAAGACAACCAATATTTTGAGCAACCAATATTTTGGATCCCATCGGGGCAACCAACCATCATGCCTAGACAATTATAGTACCAAGACAACCAAGATTTCGAGCAACCAATATTTTGAGTTCCATCGAGCCAACCAACCGTCATGTCTGGACAATTATTGTACCAACACAACAAATACTTCGAGCCACCAATATTTTGGATTCCATCGGGCCTCATGTCTGGACAATTATTGTACCAAGACAACCAATATTACGAGCAACCAATATTTGTCTGGACAATTATTGTACCAAGACAACCAATATTACGAGCAACCAATATTTGTCTGGACAATTATTGTACCAAGAGAACCAATATTACGAGCAACCAATATTTGTCTGGACAATTATTGTACCAAGAGAACCAATATTACGAGCAACCAATTTTTGTCTGGACAATTATTGTACCAAGACAACCAATATTACGAGCAACCAATTTTTGTCTGGACAATTATTGTACCAAGACAACCAATATCTCGAGCAACCAATATTTGTCTGGACAATTATTGTACCAAGACAACCAATATTTCGAGCAACCAATATTTGTTTGGACAATTATTGTACCAAGACAACCAATATCACGAGCAACCAATATTTGTCTGGACAATTATTGTACCAAGACAACCAACAACCAATATTTCGAGCAACCAATTTTTGTCTGGACAATTATTGTACCAAGACAACCAACAATATTTCGAGCAACCAATATTTTGGATTCCATCGGGGCAACCAACCATCATGTCTGGACAATTATTGTACCAAGACAACCAATATTACGAGCAACTAATATTTTGGATTCCATCGGAGCAACCAACCATCATGTCTAGACAATTATTGTACCAAAACAACAAATATTTCGAGTAACAATTAATTTCGATTTCATCGAGGCAACCAACCATCATGTCTGGACAATTATTGTACCAAGACAACCAATATTTATATTACGACCAACCAATATTTTGGATTCCATCGGGGCAACCAACCATCATGTCTGGACAATTATTGTACCAAAACAACAAATATTTCGAGTAACCATTAATTTTGATTTCATCGAGGCAACCAACCATTATGACTGGACAATTATCATTTTGAAACAGCCATATATCGAAAAACACATCAAACCAACCAACATGTCTGGACAATTATTGTACCAACATTATTTTTTATTCTATCATAGCAACCAACCATCATGTTTGGACGATTAACATTTCGAGACAGCCATATTTCGAAACAACATATCAAAGAAACCATCACGTTTGGACCCTTATCAAAGAAACCACTAATATTTTGAGCAAACATTATTTATCATGGCAATCAACCATCATGTTTGGACGATGAACATTTCGAGACAGCCATATTTCAAAACAACATATCAAAGAAACCATCATGTCTAGACAATTATTATATCAAGACAACCATTATTTCGAGCAACCATTATTTTCGATTCCATCGAGGCAACCAACCATCATGTCTGGACAATTATCATTTCTGTCTCGACAATTATTTTACCAAGACAACCAATATTTTGAGCAAACATTATTTTCGATTTTATCATGTCAACCAACCATCATGTTTGGACGATTAACATTTCGAGATAGCCATATTTCGAAACAACATATCAAAGAAACCATCATGTCTAGACAATTATTGTACCAAGACAACTAATATTTTGAGCAACCATTATTTTGGATTCCATCAAGGCAACCAACCATTATGCTTCGACAATTATTGTAACAAGACAACCAATATTTCGAGCAACCATTAATCTCGATTCTATCATGGCAACCAATAAGTCTGAACAATTATTGTAACAAGGCAACCAATTCTTTCGCAACAATTACCATTTCAAGATAGCTATATTTCAACCATGATATTACAATCATCATTTCGAGATAGCTATATTTCTAAATAGCATATCAAAGCAACCATATATATATATATGAACAATTATATATGGGCAATTATTGTACCCAGCCACTATTCTTCCGAAACAATTAACATTTCAAGATATATCTTAAAATAGTATACTACCATTATATTTGGACAATTAATGTACCAAAGCAACTATTATCACCTCTAGATAACCACCACTAATTAGAGCAACCATTATCTTGGATTCTATCAAGGCAACCATTATGCCTACGACAATTATTTTAACAAGTTAGTAGATATATTTCACAACAATTATCATTTCGAAACAACTGTCATACAGAAGCAACCATTATATCTACACCATTATTGTAACAAGACAATTGATATTTCGTAGCAAATATCATTTTGTAATAACTAATATTTCAAGCGGTCATTATCTTAAATTTTATCGAGGCACCCACTGCAACCATTATTTCGAGACAGCCGTAGTTTTGGATTCTATGAAGACAACACAATCATGTTTGGACAAAGACAACCGAATTTTGATCCAATCAGAGGTCATATTTAAGTCATAAATAATAACAAGATCATAAAGGTAAAATATTTATGATACTGAGTACAATAGATCAGTATCAAATTAAAACAGCAGTTGGTTGCTTTTAAAATTATTGTTTGTATATATACTAATTCCACTGTTTTTATATACATCCTACATAAATAAATGAATAAAAATAAAAATATATTATTAAAAAGACTTAATTTTTAAAGTTAAATGAAGGGATTAAAAAATAATGAAAAATAAAGGAAAAAGAAGAAGAAACAAATTAAGAAAATAAAATCATTAACATGTTTTTCACCAGAGCATTGTTCTCCAAACATAAATTGTTTTTAAAAACCAGCTTGATAAATATAAACGTATTCAATCAATCAAGAAATTACATGACAAACACGAAAACCCAAAGGGAGATCTAAGCCAGTAAATCTGAGACATTTGATCGGAGATGCACCGCATTAAATCACTCCTCGTCTGCTCTTAAGAAAACTGATCTAATACAGGATATTCTAATAGTTAGCTAGAGAATCAGTCAAATCTTCTCCAAATGAAAAAACCAACTTCTTATATGTAACAGACCAATACGACTCCAAATCAGAAACACCAAAACAAATAGAGAATACCAAATGCATTAACCGAAAACTGGTATAACACCATACAGCACAGAGGCATATAAGAGGATAATCATACCTGGGAATAAGATAAAATCATACTAATTTACCACATTCCTTCCGTTCATATTAATGCTCCAAAAGCATCCCGCTTCCTTGGAATTCGAACCACGATTGGACTCGAGTAGAAGGACGGCTTGACAGTTACTAAAAGTGGGCTTGCGACCTAGACTCCAAATTGCTTTTAATTGATGGATTCCGAAAAACTCATATCAAAACCGAATCGTGAGAAGAGGGAAAAACCAAGGCCTAATCGACTTTAGAAAAACCTGGACGATTTCGTAAGGAGATGATTGAAAAATCAGAACGGAATCCAACTCTGAAGAACAGGATGGTTTTGCTAAAATAGAAGAAAGAAAAACCAAAACGTAATCAAATTTCCGAAGACGATTTTTCAAAGAGAAAAGAGGGAAATCGAAGTCAAGAGTGGTGATTCGAGAGTACGAAGAACTCGACTCCCGATTGTTTCAATTCTACGCATCCTAACAAAATCAAACCTAAACTTGGAAAAACTAAAACCCTAATCTATTTCAGAAAAATCTGGATGTTGTTGCAAAGAGAGAAGGGGAAAAAGGCACAAACCTCAGCAATTTCATTAGAAACTCGATGTTTCTACAAAGGTTGAAGATCTAAACCCTAAGAAAGATCAGAGGAAGCGGGAGATTTTGCAGAGAGAAGAGGGAAAAACAAGAGAACTCATAATGGGGATTGGACAGTGCGCAAGAAGGCAACACTATTTATGAAGAAACCAGAAAGACGCGGTCAAATATAGCCGTTAAAGAAACTTGCGTGAAGAAGAAGCTAATAAATAACTAAAATAAAATAATAAAATTATATAATTTTAATTTAAAAAAAAAGAATGGAATGGGCCTAATTAATGTAAAAAAGGGCCAACGAAATACCCCTAAGTTAAAGGGCTTACAAAGCCCAATACAAGGTTTTAGTTCATAACCGGATTAAAACAGGCGACATGGTTATGAATTTAAATCTTGAAATTATAAAATAATCAAAACTCTAATTTTAAAGTTCTTTGAAAAGTGGTATTAATGATTATTGATTTTTAAACTTCAAAAAAAATAAATAAATAAATAAGTATTTTATAAGTTTTTAATTAAAGGTATTTTTGAAATAAAATATTAGCTATTTTTTTTTTTCAAAACTACAGTATTTATTAGAACTCAAAATATTTTTGAGATAAGGTATAAAGTTAAAAAAAAATAATAATAATAAAAAAAATAATAATAATAAAAAAAATAAAAAAATAAAAAAAACTCAAATTACATAAATCAATGAATAAAAGGTTTTTTTTTTTTTTTTTTTTTTTTTTTTTTTTT